GGAGACGGTGGCGAAGCCGAGTCGGTCGGCGGCGGGGGCAACGGCGACGCCGAGGGAGGCGGCGGCGACGGCGAGTCGGAGGGAGGCGGCGACGAGGGCGAGGTGGAGGGAGGCGGTGGCGAGGGCGAGGCGGACGGCAGTGGCGGCGACGGCGATGCTGAGGGCGGCGGGGGCGAAGGCGATGCCGAGGGAGGCGGCGGCGACGGCGATGCCGAGGGAGGCGGCGGCGACGGCGAGGCCGACGGAGGCGGCGGCGACGGCGATGCCGAGGGAGGCGGCGGCGACGGCGATGCCGAGGGCGGCGGCGGCGATGGTGAGGCCGAGGGCGGCGGCGGCGAGGGCGACGCGGACGGCGGCGGTGGTGACGGTGAGGTGGACGGCGGCGGCGGAGACGGTGAGGCGGAGGCGGCGGCGAGGGCGACACGGACGGCGGCGGGGGCGACGGCGATGCTGAGGGCGGCGTGGGCGACGGCGATGCCGAGGGAGGTGGCGGCGACGGCGAGGCGGACGGAGGCGGCGGCGAGGGCGAGGCGGACGGCGGCGGCGGCGACGGCGAGGCGGACGGAGGCGGCGGCGACGGTGAGGTGGACGGCGGCGGCGGAGACGGTGAGGTGGACGGAGGCGGTGGCGAGGGCGAGGCGGACGGCGGTGGCGGCGACGGCGATGCTGAGGGCGGCGGGGGCGACGGCGAGGCGGACGGCGGCGGCGGCGAGGGCGAGGTGAAGGGAGGCGGTGGCGAGGGCGAGGCGGACGGCGGCGGGGGCGACGGCGATGCCGAGGGAGGCGGCGGCGACGGCGAGTCGGAGGGAGGCGGCGGCGAGGGCGAGGCGGACGACGGCGGCGGCGACGGCGAGGCGGAGGGAGGCGGCGGTGACGGTGAGGTGGACGGAGGCGGTGTTGACGGTGAGGTGGACGGCGGCGGCGGAGACGGTGAGGCGGAGGGAGGCGGCGGCGAGGGCGACGCGGACGGCGGCGGCGGCGACGGCGATGCCGAGGGAGGCGGCGACGAGGGCGACACGGACGGCGGCGGGGGCGAAGGGCGGCGGGGCGACGGCGAGGCGGACGGAGGCGGCGGCGACGGTGAGGCGGAGGGAGGCGGCGGCGAGGGCGAGGCGGAGGGAGGCGGCGGCGACGGCGAGGCGGAGGAAGGCGGCGGCGACGGCGAGGCCGACGGAGGCGGCGGCGACGGCGACGCAGAGGGAGGCGGCGGCGATGGTGAGGCCGAGGGCGGCGGCGGCGAGGGCGACGCGGACGGCGGCGGCGGCGACGGCGAGGCGGACGGAGGCGGCGGCGAGGGCGAGGTGAAGGGAGGCGGTGGCGAGGGCGGCGGCGGCGAGGGCGGCAGTGGAGACGGGGGCGGCGGCGACGGCGGCGGCTGGCTGGGCGGCGGCGACGGCGGCGGCGACGGCGGCGGGGGCGAGGGTGGCGGACTGGGCGATGGAGAGGGCGGCGGCGGTGACGGCGGTGGGGGCGAGGGTGGCGGACTGGGCGGCGGAGACGGCGGCGGCGGTGACGGCGGCGGCGGTGAAGGCGGCGGTGGAGAGGTCATCGAGTTGAAGACGGCGGCGCGGCGACGATGTCAGCCGACGCCCTCGTCCGACTCGGTCACGAGCGGGGCGAATCACCGTGAAGAACTCGGGCGCCGACGACCCGACCGCCATGAAGGGTGCGCCGGCGACGTCCTCGGGCACCTCTTGAGCACCTCGACCACCTCATCGATCGCCTCGGCGTAGGAGTCGTCGCAGACGATGTGGCGATGCCGACGAAGAGGTAGAACCTGCGCGGGGGACGGGGCGGGGGCGGGGTGAAGGTGCAGTGAGGGGGGGCTGAGGGGGCGGGGTTGGACGGCGGAGGAGGGCTTGGCGGTGGCGGCGACGGGGCTGGCGGGCTTGGCGGCGGCGGGCTTGGCGGCGGCGGGGCGGCGGAGAGGGTGGTGGCGGTGACGGCGGTGGAGGAGCCAACGGCGGCGGCGAGGGCGGCGGCGGCGACGGCGGCGGCGGAGAGGGTGGGGGCGGCGAGGGTGGGGGCGGCGACGGTGGTGACAGCGGCGGCCGCGGCACAGAGGGCGGTGGGGCCGACGGCGGCGGGGAGGGCGCTGGCGGCGAGGGCGGGGGCGGAGACGGTGGCGGCGGCTAGGGCGGCGGCGAGGGTGTGGAGGTAGAGACGGTGGGGGCGGCGAGGTTGGCGGCGGGCTGGGCGGCGGGCTTGGCGGCGGCGACGGCGGCGGTGACGGCGGTGAGGGCGAGGGTGGCGGACTGGGCGGCGGTGATGGCGGCGGCGGTGACGGCGGCGGCGGTGAAGGCGGCGGCGGCGGTGGATGAGCCGGCGGCAGCGGAGAGGGCGGCGGCGGCGACGGCGGCGCGGTGACGGCGGCGGCGGCGGAGAGGGTGGGGGCGGCGAGGGTGGTGACAGCGGCGGCGGCACAGAGGGCGGTCGGGCCGACGGCGGCGGCGAGGGCGGTGGCGGCGAGGGCGGCGGCGGAGACGGCGGCGGCGGCGAGGGCGGCGGCGAGGGCGGCGAAGACGGTGGCGGCGGCGAGGGCGGCGGATAGGGTGGCGGCGGAGAGAGCGGCGGCGGGGGCGAGGGTGGCGGCGGAGAGGGCGGTGGGGGCGAGGATGGAGGCGGCGAGGGCGGCGGCGAGGGCGGCGGCGAGGGCGGCGGCGACGGTGGCGGTGGAGACGGTGGCGGTGGCGAGGGCGGCGGCGGCGAGGGCGGCGGTGACGGCGGCGGCGGCGACGGCGGCGGCGGGCTGAGCGGCGGCGACGGCGGCGGCGACGGCGGCGGTGACGGCGGTGAGGGCGAGGGTGGCGGACTGGGCGGCGGTGA